GCCTCCCGAAACGAGCAAATCGACAATTACAGCCCGACAGACAATCCGCAACTAACGGGAAAGATACCCACCGAATGCCACAACGTCGGTGCTGTCGATCAATGCATCTCGCGCTGCGATCGGGTCAAACCAGTTGGAATGGCACGCGGAAGAAGAGGCAACGTACGTGCCAAGTGCGGACCAAAACCAATAAGGAATGGTTCACAGAAAGAGGCATCAATTATCCCGTCGCTCGGTTGAGAATTGACTGTATATAATCGAACGCATACAGTGTTTGCTTTTAAATTGGATCAATGGACGTTTTTCTTAGCCAGCTCACCTTCTCGCTACAATACGATATGTCTAGTTCTTAGTGAATTCTGGTTTGGTCCTACGCGTGTTGCTACAGAAAAAGCTGTGCATTAGAAAATCACTTGTAGTGCTGAAGAATCGTAGGGAGGAACAAACAGTCACCGGACGGAGGCTGTAGTTCAGCGATGTAACTATAGTCAACTGATAAAATACAAAATCGTCCCACGGTGATGTCTGTCAATCATTCTACTCACATTAAATTGAGGTCTCAATGCAACCAGTTGTGTTCATTATTTGTCTATCGGCTTTGAGTCAATTTCAGAATAGCTTTATGAACCCTAGAGGATAACGTTTCCGTCCGACAAAATGAGAATTATGAACCGAATAACTGTTTGTCAACGAATGATAGCAAAACCAACGACTAACGTCTAATACTGGATGGAAGGTAACCTGTAGAGAGAGTGTGATTACTCAAGATTCGTACGAACTGGGGAGTAAATATGTCACCGAAGATGAATGTGCGGACAGGGAGAAGTTGAGGAAGATAAATTGAAAAACACGAGTATCATGTACGTAGGTCTAATAACCACGTCATCTTTGTATTAACTAGGAAGACATCTTGGGTTTTAGATAAAAGAAACAACATAGACAGAATGGCTCCATGAATCACTCCACAAATGATTTCAAGAGCTGAAGAATGTAAACTGCGTTCAGCGTTTAAAGCAGTTGCATAAGCTGCGCAAGGTAGCCAACCGAAAGCCATTTCGATGGATTAGGTAGAAGTACATCACTTGATTCAAACAGCTAAAATCTTCAGTGTACTCAAGAAAGACAAAGCTTCCAACTGGTCGGCCTTTATCTATGTATGATATAGGGGAGTGTGAAAGAACATTTATAAGGGAAATGACCGTTTTAACTCATCATTGGTGACATTTGTTTGGACAGTCCGCCTCAAAATACGTTCATAAGCACAGAACTACAAGCAACAAGGCGATACTTACTGAACAATATGCATTCCCGAGGGAACAGACACAAATGAACAGCACAATAGTCAGCGAGTTACTGAAACAGGATTTACCCGAGAGAAATATGAAAATAGAACCCATTAAAATAACCTTGCACGTTTTAGGTCTTGGACGACTTTGTTGCCTCTGTCAAATGGATTTATCACGCAGCCAAACTCAGAACTGTGCTCAGGACCAGGAGCATACCTGTCCCCTGTTCACAAAACGCCCTCATCTGTACGCCCGTTCTAATTTAATCTGTCGATTCCACTGTGGGTGCAGTGATACCTGTATAGGCAGAACAGAAAGGCAATCACGTAATCGGGTATCAGAACTGCGTTCTGACTGCTTTCAAAGCAAGATAGCCGGGTTCAAATCTACACAGCCGGTGACCGAGACGGACTGGTCACACAAAACGCCAAACTCCTCCATTGTCAAGCCTTTATTGATGACGTAAAACTCTGCTGGTTGTGAGCAACAATTTCGAGTTTTCAATACTAATGAGAATGCTTGAATGCTCACGACTGCCGAATCATTTGCAATCACTCATTGGAAACCAATTTTATGTCAACAAAAAGACCTGGCTTTGCCCTTGTGATCCTTTCCGCTTCTCTCATTCACGTTTGTTTATTCTGTAATCCATTCCTATATAAACATTGCATTTGTCTGCAGTAGTGAAGCCCAGCGAAATCGTCCAGGACGTAACATGTGGAATGTTGTTATACTCGGTTCGTTATTCATATCAGAAAGCTGCTCAGATCACATCCTGATTATGGAACACAAACTTTGCCGGATTTGAGGCCCCTAGTTCTATGAGACTTTCGGTGTGGCTGGCGGGATCTTCATCATCAGAAACTGGGTAAAGAGAGAAGCGTACATTTGTCTTCAAAAATTAGGAAATTACCTATTTGGATTTTTACAATCGGTGTGACAGTTTGTCCGGTTCCATTTATGTACGGTTTGAAACTGATCATATCTTCTGATAGCTCTGAACATCAAGAATGTTGTCAGCATATCAGGCAGTCAGAAGTTGACAAAATAATGGACTTAACTGAACTTAAGTACACCCTAAGCAACAGGCGGTTTATATTCACCAAGTATTCTCCGTTTTTGCTTAATTTTCCTTCAACGCCCTCTAGAATGTCTATCCCATTTGGCCATCATGTTGCTGCCTCCCTAGAATGTGCCTTCAGACAGCAATCATCTGTTCTGTAGGAACGCCGGGCCTCCAAACCGACTGATATCACAACTAAACTCTCAGCCCCGAAAGGTATATACTACCTTCCGATGAGCATGATCCTCAGGTCGCTTGCCCACGCACCGGCGGAAAACGCTACCAGTTTCACTGCTAAAGATAAGTCACCGACTGTCTTGATACAACGGGTGTTCAATGTTGCATTTAGTTGCGCGTGTAAACACCCATATTCTTCATAGTAGTTCAAAGAAGGTCTTTCGACAAATAGTGTCAGTGACTGTAAAGAAATTTCGCCCTTCCGGATATTCTTGGGTTCTTGCGCTCAATTGTTTGTGTGCAATCGTCGAAAATTCAAGCGGTAGCTGTTGAAAATGGGCTCTTCGCATGCGATCAGATAGATGACAAGTTTACCGGGCCAAACAATCAACGCAACCAAGAGTGGCAAATTCGGAGTAAACCATTCAATTATTTACAGGCAACAGGCTCGGTTGATGGTCTTGGTTGCGGGTTTGACTCCTTGGGAGATTGTCACTTCCGCACCAGTTGAATGCTTTTATGAGCGATAGAAAGCTTTGTGATGACCAACCAAGAGCAGTGGACAGGTGTTTCGTCCTGTTTGGGACTCCTGAGCAATGCATAATTTCTGTGCCCCTGTCAGGATTCAAACACTGAGCTACATTAGTAGGTCATCACAAGTCTTTCTATCGATTATAATCAATGCACCCTTCGAATCACACACCAGCATTACCCAACAAATGTGAATGAACACTCAAAAGAAGGATATTCCTTAGACTTTACACTAACAAAGCAAATGCCATGAATTCACAGCAATATTCTCCCAGGAACAGTTCGTGAGTTAGGTGGGTGCCTATAACTTGTCTGCGTGTTTTTTAAGTTATTTTCAGAAAATCGTCTACAAGGGCGAAAAGGTACACAATGTTGGTGAAGTCCATGTTCACGCTAGGGAAAAAGTGCTGTCTGCGTCCAAATAAATCGATCCATAAGATGCTCATCGGCGCAATACTGCTTGGTTGCTCAGGTAAATGCAAGTGAATTTACTCTGGAGACACCCGAAAACTTCGGTCATGCACGATCAGAAACAAGTCTGATAGAGCTCTTTCTTATGATAAAGCGTCTGGACCGTGAATTAGCATACCATTAACTGACTGGCAATGTTGTTATTCCATCAATTATCAGGACGATCATCGCTGCCTGTCAAACGAAATCAGTTAGTGTATAGTAATGAGGCAAGCCGGGCTGGAATGGTGGTGGTAGAGGGGTCGCTACGGTCATTTGCAACGCTTGACCATCACCTCACATTGAGAAAGCTACACCAGAAATTCGATCGGTCTACAGCACCTGAATGCACAGAATCAATGTACCTTATAGCGTTGTGTTTAAGAGACATGATTATTTTGTAAACTATGGAGCGGCAATCGAGATGGAATTAGTGACAAAGTATACTGACTATCAAAGCTCTCATCTCTGTGTCTTTCAGTTTTTCCCCATAGACATGTAGCCAACTTCTAGCGAGAATTCACAAACTGGAATTCCTCGTTATCGTTGAAATATGCTAGATTGTTGAGGCTTATCGCTATTGGAAGGTAGTGTTCAGAAAATACCAAAGAAAGCGGTTAAAGAGTGAAAAACCCTGCACTACCTGGATGGTTCTTATGAGATTATAGAGGCAAATCAATGAATGACCTTTACAGTTTTTATTTAGGCGAAGCTATGTCCTTCTACTGTTAGTTTACTTACATGTCAGAAACAGTAATGGGAGAAAACGCAAAGAAATGATTTTATTACTGCCCCTCGTTTTTCTTGTCTATATTAAGCTTCTAGCTGTTCTTCCATAGTTTCTTAACTCAAACTGAATTCCATACCAAACGTTTGCACAGCAAGAAATAAACCCACCACAAGAACACATATGACACTCGGCTACTCATTTCCCGTCATCAAGACGTTCTGAGACTAGCACTTTCATCTGATCGGTGAAAATAACGTGGTTACGTAAGAGCCCAAGTTTAACAAACACATCTAGGAGTAACTTCATCATCTTTCCATGATCACTGGTGTGACCGTCTGACACATTCGACGTGAATGTTTTTCTCATCAAAAACGAGTTTAACATTGTTCATAGTTGTACAAACCAGGATAGAGGGAGAGACCATTCAATGAATTCAGAATAATCGTGTAACGATCCAGTCGGAGTTCGTTAACGATACTTCGACACGCTCGCCAAATATGACCCTGGTGATTCACGTTCAACCACTAGCGGGTCACTCAACTGTTCGAAGCATCGTGGATCACCTTCTGCGTTTTGCACAGACAGTGTATGGGTTAGAAAGAGGTTCGATCGAATGCCTAAGAAAATAGTTCAAACGTACAACCCGTCCTGTACTTGTTGAACTAAGGGGTGGGAGGGTTATGGCCGATCACGAACATCACCATGTACTTCATTCGTATTGGTTCTATTTCGATTGAGAACAAGTGACACCAAACATCAGGTTGTATATTTGTATTGTGGACCAAATAGGTGAGAACTACGGATCCGAAACGGCTGTTGCTTAAAAAAATGTACGTTACATTCATACTATTGGAGTCATATCAGACGCTTTCATTAACCACAACTAGGCTGTAGCATCCCTTTTGATTGGCCACTACCCCGTCCGTGGAAACTGTATCATTATATATGTTCAATAACAGGAAATCAAAATATATAAAATGGGCAAATTATTAGTAGCGGAACAATGCCAGGAAAAAGAATGAATGTAAGAGACTGCCTCGCGAATCTCATTGATCCAGGCCACATCCCTATATTCATGTGTAGAACGCCAACTCCTGTTATCACTCTGCACAAACTCCAAAAGTGTGTGAGGCCGACAGTGGTGACCGGTTTCCTAAACACAGCAAATCAGTTCAGATATTTTGTGCAGTAGTACGCGTCATAACACACGGCCATTATATTGTGGCATAATATCATATCAGAATATAGACTAATGGAACTTAAGGATCTCTGCAAGGTGATCAGTTGAATCTTAGTCACATATGCTGAGCAAACCAGTCGATAAGTATGACACCACGTAGCTTAACATGACAGAAAATACGAGCATGACAAGAAAATCCCTCAGAGATTAAAACCATTGAGAGGGACTAGCTCAAGATTCTATCGTTGGGGGACAATCCCTGGAAATTCAAAAATCGATTATTTTACAACAAAGTTCCCGGTCATGTAGAGATTGATTAATTACGAATAATTTTTCATGTTTGTTTAGCCATATGGCAAAAATCGGAAGGAGTGAAGTTATTAGTTCACTGGTTTGATGCCACCGAAACCCACAGTCTTTCCGTGATTTTATTTACTATGTCACATACACAAATGCAAACAGAATGTTATTTCCCCCTCAGACTAATCATAAACCGCATCCATCAAAGGTACTTCTCTCTCTCGCACTATTTTTTTCAGTGTCCGTTTGTCATTTGACTGTGTAAAAGGTCTTCTAGAAGAGTGTAAATGTCACTCCAAAACTGTTTTGTTTTTCGGATTAGTGACCGTTTGATATTCCATTATCCTATAACAGAGGTGTTTTTCGATACAACTAACAACGCCACGTGCGCTACATGTCAAAGCTTGTGAAAGAATGACGTAAACAAATCGAACCACCTGCGGTTACTTTTTCTCACACGTTCGATTGCTAACAGCGTTTCTCTTGCTTCACACCCCTATAGACAAGCCGAAACACAGTAACCAAACGGCTCATTACAATCTAGTTCATTTTATGAAGTTGAATGAAACGGTTTACAAGTACGCCCGCTCCGAGTCTTGTATAGTTTGTTATGGAACAGTATCAATTAGGCGTTCAAACGCACAGAAGGTTGACCGGGGGAAAACAGTCGATGACACGTGGATACACGTGTAATCTGGTCAAAGTGAGTGCTTCATTGGAACGCGTCGGTGAACGAAAGGCATCCTTCATACCTTATTCTCATGCTCACTGCGCGTGAACGTGATAAGTGGTCGTTTGAATGTAAGATGACGTGTACCGTCTGGAGATGCAAACTGTGTTGCGTGGTAACCACTGGTCATTTGGGAATGGGTCCGGACACGAATCAGCTGTTTAATAGATCCCCTGACAAAATAAGATGATAACCACTTTCCTTCAAATAGACGGAGACAGTTTGCACCTACTATAGTCTCTTTTTACGCAAATGCCCGGAACTTATTCATTGTCAAAGGTAATTTCGTCGTGTATATAGCAAATGAAGCGTGAACTGAAAAGCTAGGAAGTACTGGACAGCTGTTTCGACCTGTTCGGATCTCGTCAGCAGTGCGAGTCGATGAGTCGATGGATTCGCACTGCCAATGAAACCCAAACAGGTCGGAACAGCTGTCCAATGCTTCCTGGCTTTTCGGTCCATGCTTCATTTGCTATATAAACGACGAAATCGCCTTTGAAATTGAACCAGATCGTCTACTATTTACTTGACCTATACATTAGTCTAATTGAGATAGTATTCGAATCGCACGGCGTTTGCCTAACATTCTCATGTCCGCCAACAAAGTTTTATTGATCACTTACCAAACCAGTAACACCCAGTGATCAAGAAATGAGATTACATGAGTATTATTGGCACTAGGTATATGATAAGGACGAAAAAATACCATGCATTGGGGATAGTTATGCTGCAAGAAACGTGGGTGCATCCTGACATCAACGACTCTTTGGTTGAGCTGGATCTATTCCATATGTATCGTTTGGATAGAGACTGTTTACTGCGAAATCGAGGCGGTGGTCTAATAACCTACACCAAATCGTCTTGGTGTAAGTCTACAAAGACTACCTTCACTTACAACGTAGGATATATCTCATGTCTTTCGGTTGAATGTAAACCCCGTTTCCTTAGTAAATATCATTCCATCTTGGCATCAAACATTTACATAGCACCTTACAGTGCAATTTCTGATGTACAGACGATTTCTGATGTATTTATATCCGAACTTTCTAACTACACTGAACGCTCTCTTTTT